ACGGTGGCTACTATGGGAAGCAGAAAATATGGGAGGAGCTCATATTTAAGAGGAATTTCCCCAACCCCGGATGGCCCAGGCGCCGCATACCCCCCCCACTTTTTTTGAGAAGACACCGCAAAGGTTTTAACTAAAGAATGTATTGCATTTATGATGTTCCAACTAACAGACAAGCATTACCTCTTCGCCAGGAACTCGACAGCTGTTGAATAAACGTTCATATTGCATTGTGCAGAAAGGGACTTTGGCCTGTGGAGATATTGAGAACTGAAAAGAAAGTTTTATTTTTGCTGAGTAAAGAATTACTTTACTAGTCCACTGTTTTTCTTTAATCGCTCCAAAATGACCAAGCCGAAATAATACGCAAATCTACAGGTTATTAGAGTTCAGAGAAAGCGCGATTCAGAAGGCGCGATTCGCTAGTAGACGGGGTCAGTCGACTACCTCCTGAACTTTGATCGCGGATTCGCGCATTCTCCGAAACAGCAGGTTTTTGCCGCGCATTCTCCTCCCTTCGCAAACCCTAAATTTACGGGACAGAAAGAAATTCACGCGTATAACCAAATGAATTTAAGAGCTACGAATAGGTGCGTCGGAGTAGTGTTATAACAGGGCCACCTCAAACTTCCGCAACTTCATTCGTGAACCCACGCCTTTGCGGTACTATCGCTGAACACGAAAGATCCCGCCTTCTAATAGGAAGGTCCTCGAAATTTCTCGGATGTAGTACATGGGGAGGCACTGCACCGGCAAACTAGCGAAGTATTCCGTAAGTGGGCGATTTGGTGCACTGCAGCGTTGCCAGTGGGTGGGATACCGGTATGGACTTATAACCCCTCGCGGCATAAGTTAACCTACACCCTATTTTTGCATGTACCGGTTATGAAACAAGCGATTTCTGCATAGCTTTCTATCGCATTGAAAAAAAATCAATTGAGCAGAGATCCTAGTTCACGGGAAAAAAACTGTTTTCGTCCTTACCGGAGAAATTTCCTGTCTCTCAACCTGTCGCCGGAACTGCAAGGCACAATAAGTGACATTCGCAGCGCGCGCACCCTGATTCGTTGTAGGATGCTCGTAGAGCGTGTCCTGTAAGTGAGGAAAACGTAATAGTCCGAAATCCAGTGAGTTTAGTTTCACCATC